CCCCCCCCCGCCAGCCTCTCCTGGTTGGGCTCTTCCCCGCCCTGCTTTTGCACACGTTTAGGATCTTCTGCCTTCAAACACGCCCCTTCAGAGTCCTCCAGAAAACTCCTGGTCATCCTTCAGGACCCCTCTCAGACGTCCGCTCTGGCTTTCCCTGGTGCCCTCCGGCAGGGCTGTTCATTTGCTGTTTTGTGTCCTCCAGCGGTTTGGGGGCAGTTAGGATGAAGCCCTTGGTGGCAGCTGCTGCTTCTTGGGCAGCCTGGGGGTGAGGGTAGGAACCGGGACACATTCATCTTGGCATTCCTGGGGCTCTGGGGTCGCCTGGCCCACAGTAGGGGGGGGGAATAAGGGGTGTGGAGGACCTTTCCATTTAATCCTTTTATTTGTCCTATAAAGTAGATATGCTCAATTTGTAGAAGGGGAAACTGAGGCTCAGGGTGTGCAAGTCACCTGCCAAGGCCACACAGCATTTGGGTAGGGAAGTCAGCATTCAAACCCACTCTTTCTGCTGCTGACAAGCCAAGAATCCTGGCTGGACCAAGGTTTCAGGCCTGCTGTGGGGCTCTGTGGGGACTGAGCCTTGCAAATGCCATGCAAATGATATAGCTCCCGGATGTCAGGGGTTTGAAGATCACCGGAGGCCCCGCACTGAGTGCTGGAGGCAGGGGTGGTGGTGAGCCTGCCTCACTGTGCCTCATCAGCCTGTCTCCTGAGTAGCATCTCTTCCAGCCGGGACTCGCACACCTCTGAGGATGGGGAGCTCACTACCTTTATAGTGGCCCATGTTGACTGAGACTGTTCTAAGGAGGGAGACATCATCACACGGCCTCGGCCTGCCTCCCTGCCACCTCCACTCATGGGCTTTTCGTTCTCTTAAGGGCACAGAGCACAGCTGTGCTCCCCATCACCGACAGCTTTTAGAGCCCACCTGTTCCTGTTTTGTTTCCCTCTACCATCTCCCATCCTTGGGTGCCTGGGTCAGCCAGACAGGAGCTAAGTCTCATAATGGCTGGTGACTGGCTCCCACGCCCAGTGGCCCTGGGGACGGGCCCGGAACTATTTCAGGGTTTGCCCTGATCCTTCCCCTTCCACAGCCTGGAAACTGCCAAAGGCCTAAATATAGAGACCCTGCAAGTAGCCAGGCTGGGGAAGGAGAAGTCAGACAGGGGACCAGCCCAGGGGCCTCATCAGGGCAGAGGGCACTGGGCAGGGCCACAGGTCCCAGCAGCTGGCCATGGATCGTGGTCGGGCCTCTGGCTTCAGCCCGCTCTTGACACCGGCCCCTCTGCCCCCCTGTGACCCAGCCACCCAGCTCACCCTGCCCCTGCACACGCAGATCTGTTCCAGCCTCCGGGCCTTTGCCCACTCCAGCGACCTTGCCTGTAACACAAGCCACAGACCTCACTCTTCATTCAGAGATTCATTCGCTGAGTGAGAACTGCGCTGTGGGCAGAGCTGGGCTACAGGGGTGCCAGGGGTGCAGGCAGAGGCGGGGTAGAGGGGGTCCACCCCCCAGAGGCCTCAGCCCACACCGATGTCTCCCTCCTTCGGAGTTCCGGTGCAAACATGCACGTAGCTGCCGGGGCCCTGCCGCCCAGCCCAGCTCCTGGGGCGCACAGGGCCCTGATTGCTGGAGGCCTACGGCCCCCTGGCTTTGGGGTGGTGGGATGCAAGCTGGGGTGTTCCCCAGGGGCTCTTTGGAGGAGGGGGCTCCTAAAGGACAAGGGGAGGGGTTACAGGAAGAAGAGCAAGGCGTCTAGGGCAGTGCCAACATTTACTGAACCTCTCCCACTGGCTGGCCCTCTTCGAAGGTCAGGGCCCGAGGCAGCCGTGAGCCACCGTCGTGGCCCCACCGTGCCATGTGGGGAACTGAGTCTTGGCAGACATTTCCGGTCAGCATCAGGAGGACCTTTGGAGATGTTTGCATCTCGTGGCTTCCTCTGCAGGAAGGGCCCCTTCTGAGAAGGGAAGCAAGACTTGGAATTTCCCCAACCTCCAACAAGCAAATACACTTCCTTTTAATGGACACTGGGCCTGAAAGGCACTTCTGGAGACAGTCCTCACCCCCTTACTTGCCTGGGACCAGCCCTAGGCCTAGACCACCCCAGGAATCCCCCACCAACGGAGACCAGGGCACCTGAGCAGTCCCAGGTTGGTCTGCCCCTTCCTTCTTTCCCGGGTGGCCGAGAGCTCGGGGGCAGACTTACATTTGTTCATTCATTCGTGTATCCAGGAAACATTCCTGGGACCCCTGTCCTCGCCCCTGGGGGGACGCAGAAGTGGCCCCTGCGCTCAGGTAGTCAGGTGGGGATGGCAGCTGAGGACAGTACTCACGAGCAGTCCCGGGATGGAGAGAAGATGGAGAGTTTGTAGGCAGTGGGACCCAAGGGGAGACCTTACTTCCTGCCTCTGGGATGG